ATGTGACACGACCCTTTAGGTTCGCTTTCCTGCTACCTTTGACCTTGCCTATACAAAGCCTGCTTTACAACATCGTCTGATGTGAGCAAAAATGAAGTTCCTTGTGTAGCAGAATATCAGTTTCATACAGTATAGATGAGAATGCTGTTGTCTCATTTAAATAACACCTCATAACAAGATGTTTTCCAAGGATGCAAGGGGAAAATGCAAGCTGTGTCTGTAAATTATTGGCCAAAGACCATTTTCTGTATGACATATAGAAACTGTAAGGAAATGCAATCTATTTTGAGTACTTTTGTCATGGTTAATGGATTTTAAGTTTTCTACACAATTCTCAAAAAATGTCTGCAGCAACATAGAGATACAAGCTGTTTCCCTATCGCTACTAAATTTTAAAAAGGAAAAGCAAAGTGTTCTTAACAATCAAAAAAGAGACCTGAAATTATGATTGTAAATATCACTAACAATCAATTAATGATATCTGAAATAAATGGGCCTAAAAAGAAAGCAATATAGAAATGAAATAAAATACAACTAATACACCCAGAATTGTAAAATTGTTTTAAGAAGAACCTTTCTCATTACAGCTGAATGTGATTTTCCAGATAAAGGCATTGTAATATGACCCTGTGTGCTGTTCTGTGTGTACAATAAAGCAAGCAAAATTAATCCCTTCCCCTGATGACCTCTAGAAATGAAAACCCATTATAGTAATAATATTTGTACTTAGGCCTTGATGTTTTTGTGCTGAATGTGAATGCTGTGAAATGATTGTATACAGTGGCTGATGAGGACACATGTACAGATAAATACATAAATAATCCTCTTTATATAGGTGCAAGGTGACTTTTTAGATCTGGTATGGAAACTAGTTGAAGTCTAATAAAACTGGTAATCATTTTCTTTACTACTAAGACCTGAATCTTATTATGTTGAAAGATCTATTAGGAATGTTTCCCTTTTAAACATGGAATGTATGTAACTGGATCTTGTGCACAATTTTCCTGTTTGTAAAACTTGAATTAAGCATTGAAATTTCTGCCTAAGTTACTGGTTTTGGTGTTTGCCAAAGTATATATGGTATCAAATACTGTAATACATCTTTGTTGCCAGTCTGTGGTTCGGTTAGCAAACCCCACTTAAAGGGTAAAAGATCTTTTAAAAAACAACATTATTTAGCTTGGAACAAGAATCAATACTCCATATGATATGGTAATGAAACACAGACTTTGCAACATATTGATGGACAGTGAGAAAGTGTGTGTGGTGAGAGGAGTGGGTGTATTTGTGTGCATGTTGGAGGGACCACAATGGTATTAATAGCCTGTAAAGGAGGTTTCTGACATTTGGTAAACATATGAGCATGACACAGAGTACAATAACTACAGTCCAGAAACAATAATACATACATTACTCTGGAAGGCCATTAAGTATATGTAAGCTTTCTTCTGTCAGCATTTGTATTTTCACAGGATGTAGTAGCAAAACGTTAGCTTTGTGGAAAAGGAGGTCAAAAAAGATATCCACATATTATTTTACTATTTTGCTTTACTTTCAATATACATGTATCTTTCTGGTGTGGGCCATATATCTAAGGTGGCTCAGTTTTGCAGAGTCTGGGTTTCTATTTGTCTAAGTGGTAATAAATTCCCATTGATCAGAGCTTAGTGGAAATTAGAACACCCTCCATGAGCCTCAGTTGGGGAGGTTGCTCCCAGTAGACTCTCACTCACATTAAAAGCCCACTGGAATGTTTCAGGATGGTTGGTGTTGCTGCATATTACTTCACAATGTCAATACTAGAAGGCCTATTGATTTGGACCACTTTCTTTAAATAGAAAAAAAAAATTAGTATTTGAAAGCAGTAAAAATGGTCAACTGGTGCAAAAATAGCACTACCTTGTCTCTTTTTCACAGGCTGTTCATCATGTTGGGAAAGCCTTGAATTACACTGTAATTATTTTTAAAAACATATATGTTGTACTTTCAATATATTGATTGTAAAGACTTATAGTTGTGACTTCAGCTAAAGAATAAAACTTGACTTTATTAATTGCATTTATTTTAGATTAAGATTAGGGGGATTTCTTTTAAGCAGTCTGTATAGGGGTTTTGAAGAGGGTGACCTGAGAAAGATACAGATAAAGGCAAGACTTATCAGTCTTTCAGACCTGTACTTCTCAGTGTCAGTCAAGCAGCACTGGCAGAAGAGGTGTGAAGAGGTCTCTTTCTAATGCTGATTTTCATACCATTGTCAGCAGACTGCTAAAAAGTGAGAGTGAGAGAAGCTAAGAAAGCAAAAAGGACAGATATGAACTGGAAGGCAATATATGCTATGCTAGTATCTGCACACATGAAACTTTTTATAATTAGCAAATACCTAAGTCAGACGTTTAAATCCATATTATAAAGAACTAGAAGTCAAGATACATCTGTATGAAATAAAGATTGCCAATAAAGAGTGTGTGATTTGGATTCAGAGGTGGTTTCTTTTTCCTGAAGAGGTTGGGAAAGCTGAACTCAGCCATCTATCTAAGTGTACCATATGTCAGGAAGGATCTGTCTTCTCTATATCAGCAGCTTATTATCTGATAGCATGTTCAGTATTTTCACCCAGATTGTTTCCCATCCCTTCTTTTGGGTTCCATTTTCTTCTGCAAGATCCTTCAGGATACTTCCTGATATTTCGTCATCCTTGCATGTATGACTTACTGTCAGTGAATGATGAAGCCTTTTGAAGGGATGCAGCTCCTTAGGCTGGCTGGAAATACTCAACTCTTCTTCTCCCTGGGCATTCCTCTTCAGCATCTTTCTGGAGCTCTACCACATTGAGGATCCACATTGAAATCCTAGTACTACTCTATGAAAATAATACAAATTTCTCTTCTAGTTCAAAATGTGGGGTTTTTTTCAAGAACGGCATCAGTTATGCAGAGCTGGCTAAATGAACACTTGTGTTCAAATCACTTACTGATTATGCAAAACAACTCTGCCTGTTACGATACACATTCAGTGCAGAAAATTACTCTGCTAGTTGGACTGCTTTTCCCGTCACAATGAAACATATATCTGCTTACAGCAAAAAGTCCAAGGGCCTGATTTACTAAAAATTAGTGATCCATCAGATTGATGGGCAATCTGCACTCTTGGTGCCTTGAAATTTCTTGCATCAGTCACTAGATCATGATTTACTAATAGGGTTTCAGGGCTTGCAAAATAGCACAACTCTAACCACATATTAATATTTAATCTGGCATTTTAAGTGCACCTAACAAAAGACCCCAGAGCTGCTGACAGGACCCTAAATTGTGAATTTCTTTAAAAGGAATTGAGTATTTCCATAGTGGTTTCATGTGGAAATCTGAAACAAAAAGAAATACATGAGTTAAGCCCTGCTCATGAACTTACAAGCTTCTGAGTATATTTTCTTGAAAAACTGTTTATAGTCTGGGTTTTTTTTTTTGCAATCTAGCTTCATTAATATATGACAGAGAATTCTTTGGCTGTTTTACTGTCCACAGTTCATGACAGAAGAGAAATTTCAAAACTAATTTCTGTATTGTGTGCAATTAAACAGTCTGTTCTTTAAATACTTAATCCACTTGGAAACTCTAGAAAGCTACTAAATGAGGGTAAAAAATAATGTATATATCACAAAGGCATCTTTATTACCATGAAATTTAGTAGTTGAATCTGCATAAACTTAGTAAATTAGGCCTTCTGTGTTTTGTATAGCATTTTTAAGTAACCACGATAGGTAAGAAGCTGAATTACATATCAACAGTGTTTCTACCATTTCACAGCTTAAATAGAGCTGTAGAGTGACTTAATAAGCAACTTCTGCTGCTGCTGTCAGATGAATATTCTAATTTTACAAAATGTATATAGTGCATGTCTAGAAAAGGGTTTATTCGTGTCTTCCATTTTCATATGCCATAATTTATGAAAGATGTTCCCAACACCACCTGTAATAACAGAATGTTTATTAGTGTGCAAATGAGGGTTATAAATGATGCTGCTTATCTATGGAACAAAACACAAAAGACAACTTATTAGCAAAAGACAAATTGCTCAGCAAGTTTCAATGAGCCGCTATGTTTGTCATGAAAAAAACCTTTTATTTGAGTAGATCAATGTTTTTATAATCTATTTAAAATAATATACTTGCCACTAGGTGGCTATTTCTGATCAGATCATTTTACCATTTTAATTACATTTTTAATATCCTGGCTGCATAAACAAAGATAAATTACAAGCCTTGCACAATCTGGCTGCTAGCTCAGGCACAATCTGTAATAATATCAGCTTTTGTTTGTGCCTCCTCTAATTAGATTCTGAAATCTAGGCTTTATCAATCAATAATTTTAATTTCAGAATTGCCTTTTGATCTTACATTTCATGTTTGTTTGTAGAAAATGATCAGTAGGACAAAGCTGATAATTTATGCAGAAACAATCTCTCAGCAGAGTTACAAGCGCATTCCTAGCCATCAACACAACCCGGCAGACTAAGCTTGACACAGGTCTAATTAGCATGCAGATATGTGTCGCCTCATTGGCAATTCAAATTGCTTTTTTATAATGTACCTCAAATTGTGCTACTCAAACATTGTATTTGATTTCCAAAGCCCCCTGGGCATCCCATAATGTCTCCCTTCATCCTGGGTATGAAGCATTTATTGAACAATCTGCTTCAACTCCGGCTATCTTTTCCAAAGCACCCAAATATCATAACCGTGGGACCAGGTTTTCCTCCTTGTCAGACAGCAACTTGTTCTTCTGCAGAGCGGTGGGTGCCACATCCGTAGGTTCAGCGATGATATGTTACCTTGCGAGCTCCTGCTCCTGCAGTGGCTGCTCTATAGAGGGCTTCATTCCTGTGCCACTCATCTAAAAAGGGGGAGGATGTCTACAGAGCACACATTAATATGCGGCACATAACCACGTCTCTGAATGCCAGCCTTCCATTCTTCATTAAACAAAATGGCTGGATTGCAGTGATTGTTTTCCCCTCCACGCGCGCGCGCGCGCACAGGCACACACACCACGCATGCAGGCACATACCCACACACCCCCCACACGCACTCTGGCTTTCTCTCTTCTTCTCCCTCATGCACACGCACTCACTTTCATACACACACACACAGAAACACACACACACACACACACAACATTCCCTGCCATAGCGCGTGTGTGTGTCGGTGCAGCGAGTTACATGTGAAAAGTTGCCTGTGGCATGTGTGACACGCGAGGAGATTCCTGCCAACATCAGGGCCCTTTTTTGCCATGCAGCAACAAGTGGCAGAATCAATGGTGTACAGTTATTCAGCAATGTAATTCATTTCACTGGCTTTGGCTCCCAGCCAGATCCGCCATCTGTCTCTTGCTCTCCCTCTCTCTCTCTCGCCTGAATTTGTCCTACATTTCGTAATGTTACGTGCTTACCATCCTTATTCTATGCCAGAGGTACAACACAAGCCTCACCCCCGTTCCAGCGTGGAGTTCTGTGAGTTCGGTGGCACTTTGGATATTCCACTTCAGTGCCATAGGAAGAAAAGGGTAAGCAAAAAACAGAGTGATAGCTGCAAAGAGAATGGTGCTCTTCTATCTGAAAGCCAGTGCCTCCGCTTTTTATTTAAAGCATTGATATGGATCTGTCTCACATGGGAACTTTTCCTGCTTCGTTAGAGTATCTTCGTTTTCTTTATTGGATGCTGGCACTGTACGCCACTGCACAGCTCTGTGGAATGCCTGCTGTTGGATACTTGCAGATCCCTGCCACCAAGCAACCTCCTGCATTGGAAATCGGGTGACTACTCCAGGATCTTATGCGTGCTTGCTGTTTGAAGCTGCAGAAAAGTGAATAATCAATTAAGTATTGATTTCTTGTAAGATTTGGTAAATTTCAAAGGCAAGACAAAGAGGATGGCTTAAGGAAAGCACTGCAGGGACTTGGCGTAAATTAGACAACTAACAGCAGTGCAGAATAAAATAACACCTCAACTGAATATTTCCTTGGAAGAATTAGCACTAGCTATTGGAAGACGATGGTGGATTTAATCAAGACGGCAAGCACGCTTGAGTTTTAACCGTGAACCTGAAAGAGGAGCTAATTATAACCACCTTTTTATATGGAGCTAATTTGACTGAATGGATGCAAATGTGCTTTATTTATGGATGAAGAAGCAAGCCTTACAGCATTGACTTTGGGATCATCGCATATGCTAAGCTTTACAGCTTCTCTAAAAGTCAAGCCTACAGTACATTTTTATTTACTGAGAAGGTATTTATATGTAAGAATAAGCTAACCATACAAAAGATGCATCAGAACAATGTACTGTGGCACTGAGGATCTAATTATAATTTTGCAGCATTTCATGTTTTCTCTAATTTGGTGCTTTTCAACCCTTGCTTGTGATGGGCTATAAATGGGACAATAAATGTATGATTTAAACTATTGTGATTTTCATTGTATAGTTTATTAATCGGACTGTAGTTTTCGTAATGTGTTTCTGAATTATTCAGCAGTAATTTGTAATGAAAGAAGCAGAAATGGTGGGGTGGTTTTAAATTCATTTATAATCTTCTTACAGATCTAAATGTACAGGTTCTACCAGCCGATGAGTTCTGTAATTATAAAAGAATGTTAAAATTTTCAGATAAATGGGGCACTGACTTTACAATGGGCACAATATTGTATAATCAGTAAAAGGAGGACTGTTATGTTTTGACTCTGTGGAGAATGGTCTTGGTTAGTTAACTCCTTCTATGCTGATAATGATACGCAAATGTACCTTATATGAGAAAATAGGGGGAGAATGTAATGCACTAGTTTGATGTTTTGCTAGTCTAAAACCTTAGCATATTTTTTTTACATTTATTCCCATTTCTGTTACTTTTCTTTTCCCTATTTGCTTGTCTGGTTTCTGTCGAGATTTTTTTTCCCTCCTGTCTTGCAATCTACATTCCCTGAGCAACCACAGGAACCAAGTTACATTAAGCTTCAACACAAAGACGATGTAAGAATAATGAATCCTCATTTGCATCGACATTTGTATTCAGATTTGCCAGGCTATAAACTTGGCAGATCAAGCGGAATATTAAGTAGAGGCTTCCATGGTAAATTGCGACTCTTGCAATTGCTGAGTCGTTTTTCCTATTTTTTTGCATGAGTGTGTGTGCGCGCGTATGTGTGTATGTGTGTGTGCATGTGTGTAAATGTGTATGTATGTGCATATCTGTAGAGGCAGGTAAAGTCTCATGACTACTTGATTTCTGAGAGGCACATTGGCCCTCTTTCTCTTTCAGTATATGATGTCAGTTTATGCAAAATGAAGCAGGAATACACCAGAAGTAAGCATTTTAGCTAAAGATAGTGTGACATATGAATAAGGTATTCACTCCCTTTTCTAGAGACTTGTGTGAAAGAATTCTTTAAGCAAATGGATAAAGACTATTGCAAAAGTACACAGATCTTTTGTATCAGTTGGAGGTTTGATTTCACTGCAGGTAGTGTCCAAATCACAAAATCTGAGGTAGCATTAAACCTACCGACTTGATAACATGATACACTTTTTGATTTGTGATGGTGCTGCACGTATGCATGTATGATTCCATTAAAAATTTGAGCATTACTGTACCTACCATCAGGTGCTTTGGTTTGGTTGGACTGTTTCCAGCTTTACAGTAGTATGTGCAAGACCTAAGTTGGCCCTTCTCTTCCAGGGTTGGACATCGAACCTTTTCCTTCACTGACATTTGCTTAAGAAAAGGTGGTCCTAAGTTATCCATTTCCTTAAGAATTCCTCCCTTCTCTCTCTGGATAAACCCTTTTTCAAAATTAATAATTGCAAAAGTGGAATATTTACCTTATCACTATCCTTTGTAACTCTGTGCTATTGAAAATCGTTTACGCTTGAATTCTGGAAACTTTAAATTATCCATAACATGGGCTATATTATTTCAGAAGCAGTGAAAAAGTACTTAGTCAACAAGTGCTAAAAATGCTTCAAGTGTCACATTTGCTACCCACAGATTTTCAAGTAGTTGTCTTAGGACTTCAACAAAGCCCTCTGGACAGAACTTAAGAGTGTCATTGAATTAGGAGACATAGGAAATGGTCAGCCATGCAGGAAATGATTCCAGTGCCTTCTTTTTGCACACAGTCCCTCCCTACCACACCCATAAAAACAGACCTAGCAAGCAGAATGTCAGTACAGTCCACAGTGTGTGTTTTCATAACTTGTAGTAGGCTTCTATATTAAAGAGGTACTATTACAGAGAAAAATCCTGACATTTTTTCCAGTCCTTTCTAAACAAGTTAAGGGACTGAATTCATAAACTTAATCTATGGCTGGCCATTTAGTTAATCCATTGAAAAGCAAGCTTAATGTAATGGCCATACCTGGGGTAAGCAATATTATACTGTATAGTTATTGGCTACAATTTCAACTGAGAAAGTCAAATCAGCTTTGTTTTCTGTAAAAATACACAAACCTCTAATACTGTTTGGATTTACTTTAATTTTGTTTTCACACAGTAGTAGGATAATTGGTCATGCAGGGAATGGTCAGCTGTAATGCAGTGTTCACTAAGGGCAAAAGACGATATGCTGCTTATGTAGAACAATAACCTGTGGCAGGCAAAGACAAACATGCATCATTATCTGTTTGCAATTTTTGAGAAGCTTTAGAACTTTATTCTTTTACTATGGGGGAAAACATGGTATACGTTGTTTCCTTCCTTTGAAAGAATATTCTGGGCTACATTTCCAAAATCATGCTTAACATAGAAGGGAAAGGTAGAACTTTCAAGATATGTTTCCATACTTTACTTCCTTATGGACATAATCTTTATGAAATAATATAAAATTTTGTTGTTTGGGTTAATATATATACCTGTCATGAATTGTTTGGGAAATTTACCCCAAAACAGCTAAAAAAGCGGTCCTTTTCTGGAAAAGAAAAACCAGAACAATATCTCAGTGACTTTCAAAAGAAAAAAAATCAATTGAAAAGAGTTTTAAATTCCAAATTTATAAACAATAGCAGATTATTAGACTGCAATATATTTGCTGGACAGTCATTCACTAAGTGAATCCTTTGAAAAATTAATTCCTCTGGGGGCTTTTTTGTCCCTATACAGAATTCCCCAATTTCTTGCTGCCTATGGTTATAGAACCCAAAGAAATGGGAGAGGAATGAAAAGTACTTTAAGCTCCAGATACATTTATCATATTCACTGACAAAAAGATAAAAACACCTGGAAAAAAGGAAGATGTGAAACAAACATTTCATGGGAGAAACTCCAATCGGTTCTCTGGCCTTTCAGGTGTACAGTGTTGTTGGGTAAAATATTGTAGTGCTATACAAAACAAAAATGTACTGTGCGATGAGTATTCACCATCACTGGACAGAGTGTAGCACAGTCAGTCTAGTCAGAGCATATGGACGCTTTAGAAGGAAAGCTCAAGGTCTGTTACAGTATTTCAGTCTAGTTCATTGTATTGCTATAAAATTTAAGATTCCAACAACACAGAGCTCACTATATATACTAAGGGTCAGATCTGCTGGCCCATAGCATTTAAAGGGAAGCTATCATTTTTTACCATTATTCTTCTGATCGAAGATCCTTTTGTGTAACCCACTGTTGTGATGAGTATCATTCAAGTGTTGTATTTCTTACTGGTAGCTTTGTTGTCCGTATCTGTCATTGGTGTGGACTTCATCTCAGGACTGAACTGTATCATTTTGCATGTCAGGAATATAGTTTCCTAAATAGTTTTTTTCAGATTTGTGCATGAAACAGCAGTTTGAACTTAGACAATTTAAATGTTTCTGTTACATAGACAGTAAACCATTTCCCCTTCATGTTTCTTTTTTGTTTCCCAGGCACAAAGGAGATAGAAATGATTTTTAAAAGAAGCAAATATGTAGATATGCAAACCAGGAGAAGACAAAATAGATTGACACTCAGAAGTGGCTTTTGCACTGGCTTTTTATAAATATTAAGAGTTAAATCTTTCTTTCCAAGGTGAAGCTTCAGTGCTCTCCCATCTTATAGTTTCTTCAGTGGTATGTCTTTTGAGACACTGTATCTGTAATCTCTGTGCACATTGCAGTAATTTACAACGAACAATTGGAGGTTTTGTGCAAGATTTTTTAGTTTTGCTGAAGACTTTGCCGAGAGAGTGTAATCCATTGAAACATGCTATATTCCCTACTTTGGCAGGCCAATAAAAAGTTCATGTTTTCCTTAATAAAATAAATATGGTTTCAGTACCAAGAGCTTTCACATGGCAAAGCTTTTAATTTAATTGCCTGGATTGAGTTAGCTATTTTCAGTTTCAAGCAGTCTTTCGATTACTAAAGACAAAATTGTAATAACTATAAATATTGTTAGATAATGAATAAACTGGGTATGCACAAAAATGCCTCAGACCTGAGATCCCTTTCTGTGGTTTGTTGTTCATTGAATCTTGTATCAAATTACAGTGTAATCCTGTAATTTGTGTTCATATAGGACCTAGCATAATAAGGCTCCACTTCTGATCAGTATCGTAACATAAATAATCTTAAAAATGCATTGTTTTAGACAATAGACAAGCTTTCCAGGGTGGTTGTTTATTTGCATAATCAGCACTGTCTCATTTAGTGTAGTGGTTACTGTTTTTGGCAAAGTTCTGTGGTCATTAATTGTGCTTTGAATTTCATTGGGAATTTTGCTTAATGAGAACAGATTTTGATGCATTTTTTCAGCTCTCTGAAAACCATACTGACCTATGCTTCATTATTGTCACAGCAAGTTGCAGAGAGAGCAACATGGAAATCACTTTATTCTGCACTGAACTTGGCCAGTTCTAGGGCTGAATTCAACCGCTGGGTAACAAAACTCAGCAACTCATGTGCTCACATGAGAAGACTGAGGAAAGGAGAATCTAGTTTTTATATTTTAGGTTATTACAGTGCAGAGGGTAGAGGCGGTAGAAAGTTTCTGTGCAATAGAGGAGGGAATACTGGTAAAACGAGTACAGGGAGATAGGAAATTAAACATTATTTTTACTGTTAACCTGATGTCAGCAGTTAAAAGAAAGAACAAGAAGCAGAACACAAATTCCAGTAATTGCAACTTGCGACCAGTTTCTCCTGGATTCATAATTTATGTTGTAACTTGCAATGAACCATGCCACACAGAAGTGGTCCTAGGCTGCAGAAGATAAATCTAATGACACATCAGCTATTGCCTCCTGCTTCTGCTCTCAGTAATGTAAGTAGGAGTTTTTCTGTGGACTACACAGGGAGCTGTATTTGGGCTTATCCACAATACATTGAAGTTACTTATGCTATACTATGCCACAGTCATAAGTACTGAATAGGGGTTGGTATTTTAAATATCTGAAATATTCTGGAGTCATATTCAATTTAAAAATTTTTGTTATTAATAGAAAGTTGACAGAAGTTGATCACTGCAGTTTAGAAAAGTATTTGATTTTCCTTTCAGGAAAATTGAAGGTTTTGCATATTAATGGTCTGGACAAAAAATAAAATTTCCTCAAAAGCACCTTACAAAATATAAATAAAATACTGCAAAAAAGAGGTTAAAAAGGGTTCAGTTATGAAAATTGTCTTCTTCATCTTACATTTCTTAAATTCGTTTCAACTTTTCCTTGCATTTGTATCCTAACTAGCCAGTAAATTCCCCCCTAAAAATTCTTGCAACCAGAATGATCTTGGTGAATCTTCAATCCACAGTAAAAATATAAGGATGAACTGGTATCCCATGGACATTTTTCAGAATCTTCTTAACCATTAGCAAGGCCACTATATCTAAAAATAGAGGGGCAGGCTGTGCTGAAGCTTTTGGTCAGAAATCTAAGTCTGGGGGTAAAACAGGAAAAGTGAAGAAGGGCAGACCTATGCATGTGTTGTTGCATCACAGGAGATATACTGGGCAGTGCTACCACAAAGAAACTTCCCCCATAGATACAACAGGTAGAAGGAGACAGCAGTCTTCTAGGAAAGTAGTAGGAAAATGCAAGAAAATATACAGCTTTACAGTACAGAGAAACATTATTTACATTGTTAAGCAGTGGAATTATTTTAGAAAAAAGGACAAAGTACTATCTGGAATCAATGACTGAGTTTTTTATTCTGCTTTCACAGTTTCATAAATTTTCTCACTAACTACTTTGTTTTGCACTTTCAGCAGTATTGCGTATGATTTTTAAGCTCCTACCATCAAAATTGTTTTCCATTTCTCATACATACTATTTCAAGAACACTTCTTCTTATACATAATGACTAGAACTGTCTGGACGACCTGCTGAAAGTGTTTCAGAGTTTCTCAGCAGGATGAAAGTTAAAAACAGAAAGAAGTTGTAATCTTTTTGATTATTTGCTGGGAGATCACAAATTGAGGGAGAAAGTTATCTTGTTCTCAATAAAAATGAAGGATTGTGAAAAAAAAAATGCTTAGCATCCTGTGGGGGGTTTTAGCAAGATGCCCTCTAGTTTTATCTCAGTTATGGATTCCAACATTTTGTTCAGTCGTTTTGTTCCAAATGAGTCCAAATTCTGGTGTTTCTTATTACTTACCTTTTCTTTCCAATTTATACTTTAATCTAATTCTGCAGCAGGACACTTCCAGATGTTTATTCTTGTGAAGTGTTAAGTATCTTAAGCATATGCAGATCCTCTGACCTCAACACCACATAGGTTTTGCTCAGAATACCTTAAAATTTCTTGAAGATTCAGTTAGCATGTTCCATATAATCAGAAACAGAGTACAATGATGGCGATTCTTGAGTTTTGCTTTTATTGGCATTTTGCATTAAAGAAAAAATAAACTCCTAAATGAGCTAAATCCAAGATTTTGAGGTTGGACAGATATTTGGGATTATTTTTCTTTTTTTTTTTTCGGAGTGGTAGCGCCCATTTCAAAGGGACATGACTAACAGTACTTTCAAAAATCAGGCCTCTGTCCCAACTGTAGAATATGGCAATATCCAATCTTTAACCTGCCTTTTGAAAACATTAACTTTAGTCAATGTTGCATTTTTACCTGCATGTCTTGTTTCTTCAAAAAACAAATCATCACTCATGCTGAATTTATCTTGTACCAAAAAAAAAAAAAAAAAATTTCAAATTGGTTGTAATGTTCATTTTACAGTTACTATGTATTCATGCACAATTACAGTTAAGATTTCTATTACTCAGGTTGTTAATATTGTAGGAAATGCAATGCAGAGAAATGTAGCAGAGAAATGTACCAGAGATAGTTCTTGTTTCTACCTCTGAAAAGGCAATACTGGACAGAGCTGGCTTCAGCAGTGTAACTGCCAATGCAAAAAGGGAGGAGTTTCTTCCATTCAAAAGGAGAAAAAAATATTATCTTTTTATCATCAAATCATTTAGAAAAGAAACCACAGGTGGGAATCCTGAAAGCTTACATGAGTCAGAAAGGTCAAAAACCAATTTCTGACTTGTTGAAGACATCCTCCTGATTCTTTGAAGTGTGATTTTTTTTTTTCCTAGTGGTATTCTTGGCCAGCCAGGCAGCTTATTAGACAGTCAGACTGCTGCATGTGATTTTCTAAAGACTGTGTTGGCTTCTTGTTGCATCACTATTTAGTTTAAGGCTTGATCTAGGAAGGTTATTTGGTTTGTATTTGGTGATATCTCTCAGTCCTAAGAGTTACAACTTGTGAGCATGCCTAACTCCGTTAATCTTCAAAACATGGTGGAAACCCCCATACATATTTTTAAAAATAGTATTTTTTTAATGAAAGTGTTGACTTACAGAAAAAAAACCAATAACATCTGAGAGTGGGGATCTGCTTTTGAATGTATGACTGTGTACTGTGACATGGTCGTAATAGTACACCCAGTAAAACTGTTAATAATTTTTGTTAATAATCGCTAAGCCAAAGAAATATTTCTGAGTAATGCATTTAGTCAAAGCATCCATTTTTATATAGTATCTCCAAGAATTTGTCTCCCAAAATATGTACTTATATCTTACATTGTAAATAAAGAAAATGGAGAGAGAAGATCAAGTATAGATAAGGAAAGGAAAAGATTTGATACCCTGTCACTTGATACCAGTCATATTTTCCATGTCAAATATGATAGATTTTTACTCATAAAAATTACTTTGCTGGGAAGGGGAGAAATAAAAAAGGGGTTATTGACTCTGTTACAGTCCTGATACTTCATCCAAATGCCTAACAAAAATGGAGAAATATAAGGAAAATTTGAAAAAAAAAATAATAAAAAATACCACAGAGGTAAAATCTCCCAGAAATTTTTCATACACATTAATGATTTTAGCAGTATCTGTCTGGTACTTCTGTAGTAATCTGGTAGCATATAACAGTAAACAGGACTGGGGGAACATTAAGTGCTAGACAAGAGTCAATCTTGAAAGATAGAATGAGTTTTTTAATTAGAAACAACCTTCTTTTTATCTGGACCTGACTGAATCATTAAATAATTTTTCCTACTTGAATATCCTTTTCTGAGATCCACTTTTATCTTGAAGTAGAACTATGCCATTTGTAAAGGTGGGAAATATCTAACTACAGCTCCTAGTTTCAATTGTCTTTATATGAAACATAGATCTGTCATTATTTATAATTCTTATTTCACTAAAATTTACCTTGAGGATAAAGTTTTTCACATTCTTTTTGTAGACATACTAGGAAGAAGTTTAGTATGAGTTAGTTTGTTTTTGTTTTCTTAGAAAAGGACATATCACATGTTGTCCAGAAATTGTTGAGGTATCAATTGCAAATAACCTATTGAAATTTGGAGGCAAAAAATGCACAGAACCTATTTTCACCAAGGAAATAAAAAAAAAAGGAAAAAAAAAAGAAAAGAAAACCAAAACCTATTGGCTTTCAAATGAAGAATTGCAAATTATTGTGTGAAATACCAACCTTTCATCTCATTCAACAGATCCTATTATGTGACAATATGAATCTTCTAACCAAGCTCCTTCAAACCCTCAGGTCATGGTTTGACAACACAGTAAATCTTGCTTCATAGCTCTTGCTATAGGATGGGAAATGCCACAGCCACTCCTGTGTTTGTACCACCAGCTTTTCGTGGGATCAGGTGTCATTTTTCCTCCTACAGCTGACATAAAACCCCTATAAGAGAAGAAAGCTGATATAAATTCTATATTGCATTTTTGACCAGTTCAGCAGCAATGCAATGGCATATCCATGTCTGAACAAAATCAAATTAGTACTTGATAGTGCAAAAGACTAGCATAAGTGGAGATGAAACTGCAGCCTGAATTAAAAATCATTTCCTCTGTGAGGGCATTCCAAAATATCTGAAATTGCTAGGAGTACTATAAAGTCATATGCTGAAGACTCATTTTAAAATTTGTTCTTTTTTCTACATGTAGACACAGGCACTTAGTGAAACTTACTAAA